CTTTACACAATTGATCTATGTATTGTGATGAATTGTATGAGCCCCAATAAATTGATTAATTAAAAAAAAAAAAAGAGGGGATACTAAAAAATCCAGAATTTCGCTAAGCAGAGTGGAGCCTTTGTACTACGCATTTTTCCCAGTAGATGAGCATCAAGCAACTCTCTCTGAGTGAGTGCACCCAGTGGCATCGACTGGGAAGGTTCTCTCTGGTCACAGTGAATTTTTTCATAAAATCCGTTTCACTCAAACCTCATTTTTTGTGAGGGCCAATATGAGAGAACAGAGTGTGGATATGAAAGTTTTGTTTCCTGCTCGGGAAAAATGTTGCAGAAACTGTTGTGATGTTGAACACAGCTTACAAGGACAGCACTATGGGAAAAACTCAAGTGTATGAGTGGTTTTCCCATTTCAAAAAACGTGAAATGTCAATTGGAGACAAATCTCATTCTGGACGTCTATCACCTTCACGAACGGACAAAACTGTGGGCTCGTAGTGCATTAGGAGTTCATTCCACCAGGTCAGACTGTTAATCCAGCTTTCTATTTAGAGGTTCTGAAAAGACTGGGTAATGGTGTGCAACAAAAAAAGGCCTGATTAGTGGCAGATGGGGGGGGCTGTTTTTTCCACCATGACAATGCACCTGCTCACACAGCCATCTCAGTGTGCCAGTTTTGGGGGTAAAAATCAGCATCCTCTCTCACCTCATGCATTTGACTCACCTGACCTCTCTCTATGCGACTTCATTTAGTTTCCGTCAGTGCAGAAGAACGTGAAAGGACAGCGATTTGAAGACATAGAAGAGGTGAAGAAAATAAGGGAGGTGCTGTCAGCGATCCAAATAGATGAGTTTGAAAAATGTTTTGAAGAATGGAATCACAGATTTGACAAATGCACTAAGTGTAATGGAGATTACTTTGAAGGTGATAAGGTGGTTTTGTAAAAACAATTTAAATACATAACTTTGAAAAAAAAGATTCCATTTTGGGGGGTACCCCTTCGTATGCCAAAGTAGAACAGGACTCCATACAGTTTCGGTGGCTGATCTGTCACAAGTAGATTGCTAGGCTTTTCTTCTACGTCACCTCTGGATGGATTCAAACCACCAGACTTTCCCACCCAGCAACTCCACGGTCCTATGATCTCTAAGAAGTTGCTGTTTCCAGCCAGTGCTACAGTTAATTTCAACCCAAGGTCCTTATCTTACTTTTGGCAATCACCAGAAAAGCTCACTAACTTGTAGTATAACAGGGATGAAAAAGACTGATCAAAAACTTCAAAGGGCAAAACCCTGTCACTGGGCACTCTAGTTGAAGAAAACGGTGTGTGGTGGGTGGGGGTGGGGTGGGGATATCATTGGATGAGCTGGATTTCTCCCAGGACAATTCAAAAGACCCTCTCAGAGCGGGCCCACGTGCCAGAAGCCAGAGAGGAAACAGACTCCCCTGATGGAGCGCACAGTGAGTCCTGGAAGAAGAAAGGGCTGTGCTTGGACATGCCCTTGGGAGAGGTCTGGAAGGAGGCCAGGGTGCCTGAGGCTTCCCAAGGTGCAGTGTATGAAGGTCTGAGCCAAGTCCCTGTCACCTGGGTGGGGTGGATGACTGAAACTGTCACCCCAGAGACAACTGGAAAAGCATGACAGAGAGAGCATCCATGGCCTCAAACACGATATTGGATGTCAGGATTTCTGGGGCACGGAACATTCCATGTCTGTCTAGACCACACGTTCTCACTGTGCTCCAACTGAAAAACCCAAATCACGGCATTGCACGTTGAAGGCACGCTCTGCTCACACAGCAGAAATGCTTAGAGAGAAATGATCTCATCTGCAATTCGGATTAAATACCGTTCAATCAACCCGCAGGTCCTTTACCCTTTCTCAGGCACTGCGTGAGATCCTGAAGAAATGAAAGAAGCTAAGTACAGACACGCTCACATTATCAGGGAGAGGGATCCTTCTTCTGAAAGCCTCTGGACAGAAGAACAGGATCCTATTTTATCATCTGTTAAGTAAGGAAATAAATTAGCCTTCACTGGACAGGGGAAGACCATTCCACTTTCTTCTTGCCTTAGAAGGCTGGAATTAACAAACACCTAAAGAGATCAGGCGTAGGGCTCTGCATGAGATGGATTATACAATGTCCCTGTCCCGAAGGAGCTCATAGTCTAGTACAAAATCAGCAATTGCTACACAATGTGGTCAGTCTTCAATAGGGGTAAGCAAAATAGTGAAGGAAGCACAATTTCGAGAACCCTTACACCATTCGGTGTGGATCTCGGAAAGCAGGGAAGAAGAGTTTGGTCTTCATGTTGCAGAAGCAATCAGCCAACGGGAGGGGTAGTGGACCAAGCGTCTCAGCCAGAGAAATAAGACTTGGAGGTTACATACGCAGACAGTGCTCTGGAAGCATGCCTGTGTGCCTCTGAGAGATAACTTGGCCTGAATTACAAGTTAAAATATATTTTAAAATGTTTGAGCCATAATCCACAGTAAGACATCCATTTTAATCAGAGCCCAGTATACACATGCTATGATGAGTTGATTTGAGTCCCCTGAACAACGAATGTTTTAGAATCCTAATTCCTCTATCTGTGTACGTACTTCCATGTAGGAATAACGTTTCCTCTTTATGTTACAGAGGCCACGTCAGTGTTGGGTATGTCTTGTCTTCAGTCAATCACCTTCCAGATAAGGAAAGTCCAGATGGAGGGAAGATAGATGGACTCCACATGGGAATGCCACCCAACAGAAGGATGCTGGAGCTACAGGAGCCAAGAGAAAACTTCCCCAGGAGATGACAGAGCTCGTGTCCTGAACTCAGACTTCCAGCCTCCTAAACTGGGACAAAATGAACTTTTGTGAATCAAATTCACCCAGCAACACAAGAAAACTCAGCTTCATGCACATATACAGAAAATGGAAACATAAGTTCTGCTAAACCAGTGGTTCTCAACCTTCCTAAGGCCGTGACGCTTTAGTACAGTTCCTCATGTTCTGCTGACCCCAACCATAAAATTATTTTCGTTGCTACCTAATAACTGTAATTTTGCTGCTGCTATGAATCGGGTGACCACCGTGAAAGGGTCGTTTGACCCCCAAAGGGGTCGCAACCCACAGTGCTTTCCCTCATGAGGGGAGATTTACTCTGGTGCTTTCTACTCTGTTCCAACCCATTCTATTTGGCTCTACTTTGAAATTCAATGGTGAGTTACTGAATTATTCTCATGGACTATGAAACCATAGTCTGAACACAGAGAGAGCTAGAGAGAGCCTAAGGAAGGAACATGTGGCTAGAGTTGACGTGAAAGATAAGAATCAGAATACAATACTACATGGGGGTGAGAAAGAATATGGAATCACAAAACGTTTTTTGTAATCCCTGGTTTCATTGCCTGCTTTCTCATTAAAATGTCCAGGTGGGAAGGGGTCTTGGTTTTCTTTTGTTTGGCTATGTGTGCACTGTTCCCTAGCACCAAACCACCAGTGGTATTTGGTGAACGATTAAGTGAATGCATACATGACTCATTTGAGGGTTATTTAGGGTTATTTCTTCATGAAATCAGGAGGAAAACAAAACAAAATAACACCGATGTATAAAACCCTTTGCCATGAACTTTGACTCATAGAGACCCCATAGGACAGAGTGGAATGGCCCATAGGGTTCTAGGCTGTAATCACCCTAGAGACAGACTGCCCTATCTTCCTCCTAAGGAGTGGCTGGGGGTTAAACAGCCCATCTTGGGATTAGCAGCCCACCACTTAACCACTGTGCCACCATGGGCCTTTGACATCAAGACTACAACCAACTAATGGAATATTGAACGTAAGCCAAATATCTTAAGAAAATAAATCTATTGTACAGTGTCTGGAGCGTCTTTGGGAAAAAACAATATAGGTGAATACACAATCCTCACACAAGCTAGCTGTAAGCTCATTTGTCCTTGATGTGTTTCCAGTAAACCGAATGGCCATCCAAATATTTATGCTCATCTTTTTTCTTATTATGATGCATTTACAGGTTCTTAAAATCATATATAAATTCTGCTTTGATGTAAAGTCCTGGAATTCTATGCAAATGCCTGGTTTTTAAAAAAAGGAGTATGGGGGGACATCTGTAAAATCATAACAAAAATAAACACACTTCTGTGGAGACAATTACAGCTCATAGCCACCGTAGAGGACAGTCGCACTGTCATCAAGACCACGACAATTCACAGCGACCCTATAGGACCGGGTAGATCTGCCCCATGAATTTCGAGACTATAACTGTCTACAGGGAGTAGAAAGCCCATCTTTCTCCCTGGGAGCAGCTGGTGATTGCTCACTTCGGACCTTTGCTTTTTTTTTTCAAATCGTTTTATTAGGGGCTCATACAACTCATCACAATCCACACATACATCAATTGTGTAAAGCACATTTGTACATTCATTGCCCTCATCATTCTCAAAACATTTGCTCTCCACTTAAGCCCCTGGCATTAGGTCCTCATTTTCCCCCTCCCTCCCTGCTCATGAACCCTTGATAATTTATAAATTATTATTTTGTCATATCTTACACTGTCCGACGTCTCCCTTCACCCACTTTACTGTTCTCCATCCTCCAGGGAGGAGGTCACATGTAGATCCTTGTTCGGTGCCCCCTTTCCACCGCACCCTCCCTCCACACTTCGGACCTTTTCTATCACAGCCCTCTGTGTAGCCACTATGCCACTCGGGTCCTATACTGGACAGAGGAGAGCTGCCCTTTGGGGTTTATGAGATTCCAAATCTTTCCAGGAATAGACAACCTCATCTTTCTCCCATGGAGCAGCTGGTGAGTTTGAGCCTCTGGCCTTGTGGTTAGCAGCTCAACATGTAACACAGTAACCACCTTAAATAACCAAGCCTTGTCTTTTGCTTTGTGTGTGTGTGTGTGTGTGTGGCGGGAGGTGGTCTTAGGTGCTCAGTTTTACCTTGTCACACAGTGTTGTCTGTCTGTGGGCACAGGGGAAGAAATTACCTAGTCCGCCTGCATGAGCATCAATGAGTGAGGATGCCACTGCGATCCCAGGGGGAAGTCCAAGGTCTTTTGCTGCCTCTGGTGAGAGTCCATTTCCAAGAGAAACTCCAGGAGGCAATACTTGGTTTCCTGGGTAGACAGGAGGAAAAACAAACACATGTCAGTTTGAAAAACACAAAAGCAAACAGAGTTGTTTGTAAGAGAGCCTCTCAGCCCCCTCCACCCTCCTCTGCATTTTCTGTTTCACAAAGAGGAAATCATGCCTCTGCGGCCAAGAGTCCCTCTGCTCACTTGGTGGTGACTTAGGTCTCCATCTGTGCTACCTGTGGGTCATGCTCACCAGGCCAGCGGCTCGGGTGCCTTCTCCAGACTGAAGAAGTTTCCATGCAGGAGAAAATGTGAAAATTACGGAAACACAGTGGGCACTGGAAGGGAAGTGAAAGATGCTCAAACTGTTCGAAATGGGTTTTCTGGCAGAGCGGCTCCCCCAGCAAACTGGACACACACACACGTATTCATACACACTCCCTGGTGAGTACAGATTCTCGGGCTGTTAAGAATTTTACTCTTGAAATTGCTTCTTGCCAGAGGATAAAGGAATCTGTTTGTCCCAAAGATGTTTTTGAAAGCTTTTCTCAGCTGACAAAGAGAGTTCATGCTAAATTGTGTGCGCTGCTGCTTGCACCACCGTAGAAAACAATGTGAATGATGTTCTTAGGCGTTGTGCAATGCAGTGACCCTGATATGTCAAGTGACCTTGGATTCCTGCAGTCAGGCAGGCCTTTCAGTTAAGAATTTATTGATGGTCTTGTGCTGTGTGGGAGCTGTGGGTTGTAAAAGGCTGTTCTTGTCCCCAACCTTGTTAGAGAGACCAGATTAGGATGCTTAGAATGATGCGAGACAGCAAAAAAAAAAAAAAAAAAAAAAAGAAATGATCCATCTGCACCCAGGTGTCTAATAGAGACTGAGTTCTCCCTCCTCTTCCTGCCACCGGATCCTGTAATCAGTGTTTCTGCAGTGCAGACAGGAGTAAGGATGACCCATATGTGTGCTGACATCTCTCTGAAACCCAAGATCCTAGGATTCCTAAAGGGAGGTCAGTGACTTGCTTGGTGATGTCTCCTAATCAGTTAGGGAAGGTAGGATGAACCACAGCTCCTTGTGCCTGGGGCCACAACAGCTTGGAGTTCATTAGAGGGCAGCTAGGTTGTTACCTGCTCCACAGAGCTCTAGGGCAGGGAAGTGGTGCTCCTGGGCTTCTGAGGATGAAGGCCAGGGTGAAGGCTAGAGGCAGGCCACGGCAAGAGTGATGGTTAAGCCACCCTCCTCCATTCAGAACCAAAGCAAACACACCACCATTTCTATCCATGTTAAGTAATGGACTTCTGTGAGTCACTGGATTTGGAAAGAGTTCAGCAAAGAAGAAGGACTATTGAGAGCTCTGGAGCTCTGATGCGCAGGGTGACAACCACTGGACACCTGTGGAAGGAACACTAGAGGCTGGCCAGAGTGGCTGGCGGACGACATGGGTATCCATTTATTTTAATTAATTGAAATTGAAAAAGCGCCCCCCCCTCCCGCCCAAAACATCTGAGAGTCAATCTGCTTGCTGAAAACCTTAACTGAGTCTGGAACAACCTGGATCGATGAACTTGCTTTTGCTAAGCGTCTTCTTGCTGGCTGCCGCTGAGTCGATTCCAACTCACAGCAAACCCCACGCACAACAGAACAAAACACGGTCTGGTCCCACATCAAATTCACAATTTTGGTGGTTGGATTTTATGAAATAAGGCAAGTCTTTCTACTGAAAATGTAGTATCAGAATTGAGTGGTATAGATGGTTTGCACTTAGTTGCTAACCCAAAGGTTGGCGGTTTGATTCCACCCCGTGGTGCCATTGTGAATGATCTAGTAATATCCTACTGAGAGATCCTCACCATGGGACCCTGATGGTGAGCAGTTCTACACTGGACCACGGGAGTCACCAGGAGTCCAAATCAACTCCATGCCAGTTCTGTTTGGTTTTAGTATGCAAAAAAGAATGTACAGTATCTCATCAATAAGTTGCATATGAATTGTTTACTTTTGTTATTTAAAAAATTTTTCTGGTCTTTTAAAAAAATTAATTATTTTATTGGAGGTTAATACAGCTCTAATAACAATCTTTACATCAATTGTATCAAGTACATTTGTACATATGTTACCACCATCATTTCTAAAACAATTTCTTTCTACTTGAGTCCTTGGTATCAGCTCCTCTTTTTCCCCCTATCTCCTCCAACCTTTCACCCTCATGCACCCTTGATAATTTATAACATCTTTATTTTCATATTTTACACCATCTGCTGTGTCCCTTCACCCATGTTTCTGTTGTTCAACCCCCTGGGGGGTAGACATTGACCATTGTGATCAGTTTCCCCTTTCTCCCCCTTATCCTCCCATCTTCCCCCTACCTTCATGGTATCCCTACTCTCAATACTGGCTCTGAGGGGTTTATCTGTCCTGGATTCTGTGTGTCGAGAGCTCTATCTGTAGCAATGGACATGTTCCAGTCTAGCCAGATGTGTAAGACAGAACTGGTGTCACGATAGTTGGGGAGGAAGTATTAAAGTACTAGAAGAATGTTGTGTGTTTTGTCAGTGCTAAACTGCACCTTGGCTGGCTCATCCCTTTCTTGTGACCCTTCTGTGATGGGATGTCTAATTTTCTACAGATGGGCTTTGGGTCTTCATTCTGACCCCTTTTATTCATATCAAAATTGTCATTTGTTTTGGGGTCTTCTGATGCCTGACACCTGATCCCATCGACACCTTTTGACACACACGGGTTGGTGTGCTTCTTCCATGTGGGCTTTGTTGCTTCCCTGTTTAACTTCAAGCCTTTATGGCCCCAGATGCTTTATCTTGTAATAGCCGGGGTACCATCAGCTTTCTTCACCACATTACCTTATGCATCCACTTTGTCTTCAGTGATCATATTGGGAAGGTGAGCATCACAGAATGCTGGGTTATTAGAACAAAGAGTTCTTGTGTTGAGGGAGTACTTGAGTCGAGGCTACCTTAATATCCCTATCATTACATATTTATACATATGCACATGCCTATGTTTATACCTCTATAAATGTCTTTTGCCTCCTAGTTCTTTCCTTTACTTCCTTTTTCATTCCTCCTGTCCCACTATCATGTTCAACCTTCATTCCGCTCTTTGCACTTCCTCTCAGGAACACTGCACTTGATCGGACCCCACCAGGCATTCTATGAATTATATGTTTAAATGACTCGCTGTTACCCTATAGGGCAAAAGGGAACTGCCCCTGTGGGTTTCCAAGGCTTTCAATCGTTACAGGAGCAGGAAAAGCCTCACTTTCCTCCCATGGAGTGGTTGGGTGGTGCACACCACTGACCTTGGAGTTAGTAGCCCAACACGTAGCCCACTCTACCACCACGGCACAACACAGTTTGCTAAGGAGCCAGAACAGATTCAAGGGCAGTGAGTGAGCGAGATTGACAGATTGGATAAAACAAGATATAATAAATTGAATTTCATCTCTTAAAAATGTTTTATTATTTATAACAACTAATTATTCATTATGAACTATTATTTATTATTAATACATATATTGCATCATCCCATAGTTCAACCACATCAAGCAGAATAGTACAATTGCTTCCACAATCAGTTTGTTAGCATTCTTTTTCTTCTTGGACTTTTTGACATCGTCTCCCCTTTACCCACCCACCACCATTTTGCTGTCCCTGTAGGTTCATCAATCCTGGATTTCATATACCGAAAAACAGGAAAACATATAATACTACTTCCAGAGGGTGACCTCTAATGATATAACACCTGTGTGCTATGAACAAGCATAACACCCTAATATGAACAAACAAAAACAAGATAAAACAAAATAATTCAAAATATAGAAAATGTTGGAAACCACATTAGGCTCAGCACGCACCGGAAGAGGGGATCAACTGACAAAGTTTTAAATGTTCAAGTCAGATTTATCCTTCTATACTCGTCTCTCAAATGCAGCCAACTAAATGGGAGGGTAAAAGAAAGAGGGGAAAAAAAGAGATGGGTAGGGGGGGATCAGGACACTAACCCACCCAAGGGGAGGGTATTGTTGATATCTCCACAGGAGCGAGAAAGAGAGACCAGGCTTCAACACCTTACGCTAAGACATGAATACAACATACAGGCATGTAGCAGGGAAGCAATAGAGAGGTCTGTGGGGCTGGCCCAATTCCACCAGAAGAATGCACTTCAGAGGACAATACTGAAGGTACAACTCAGAGAGACAGGTGCATCTGATCAGAGCACACAGGAGCAAACAAAAAGGGAAGGAGAGAGAGTGGAACACATCCAGGCCCACCAAGCCCTGAGGACAATATTCCTGTTCAGAGCCGCCAATGCACAGAGAGGACCATAGGGTTGGTCCCACCATGAGACATGATGTCCTTCAGTGACATATAGCACTACTGTGGACAACACTGGAGACGCAGTGTGGGAACTGTGCCCGATCTGACCCCATCACACCGGGCGAAAGACTAAGGCATGCAACAAACAGCAAGAGGAGCAAAACAATGAAGTCCCAAAACAGACATTGGGGCCAGGGCGTGGCGCCCCATCAGACTCCACCAGAAAACACTCCTAAAGGTCAACAAACAGACCTGGAACTATTTATAGTCTTTTCCTTTTTTATCATTGATTTTCCTTTTCTTTGTTTTTGTTATCTTGTTTGTTTTGTCTTCCTGTGTTGTTTTGTTTGGCTTTGTCTTATTTTTGCACTTATTATTGTCTCTGCATGTCTATCTAGATAAGATAAGCAGGATAAACAATTTGGAGGAGAAAACAATGGGAGCAATGGTTCCGGGGAGAGGGGGATGTTGGGAAAAGGAAGGGGTTGTGTGTCAACAAGCCCAGGGACAAGGGAAAAGCAAGTGATCTAAAATCGATGAAGAGAAGGATGTAGGGTGCTTGGTGGGGTTTAATCAAGGGCAATGTAACCGAGGGGAATTACTGAAGCCCAAATGAAGGCAGAACATGATAGTGGGACAAGAGGAAAGTAAAAGGAAACAGGAACTAGGAGACAAAGGACATTTATAGAGGTCTAAATGCAGGTATGT